TGGGCCCCTTCCCCGAGACTGGTTTTTTTTATGCAGGATCATTGTTCCAGGGTCTCGGAGTCCAGTGCGGGCCCCCAGTGCCGAAAGTTGCCAAACACCTTCGGTCGTGCTTGTCTAACCGGGATTGCCGCGGGGCCTGCTAGGGGATGGGCGGGTTATCAGTGGATGCCGAGGTGGTTTGTATTTGGACGAACTTAGCTTATAAGTGGGTTGCGATTGCCCTAGGTGGTTTGGGTGGCTTCGATAGCTTCGCTAAGTAGGCGCAGCCCACTTCGTTCAGATCTTAAGCCACCTGGGGCACCTCCCACCTTCTTCGAAGCATTCTAGGCCGTGTGCGAGCCACCTCTTGGCATCCACGTACGGCCGCCCTACCTCCTCAGCAACCCCTTATGGTCATCCCAGAAACGACTCCAGGGGGGCTGGGGATAAGGCCTGCTCCTACCCTCGGTCGTTGCGTAATGGTCAGGAGGGGGAAATTATCCTGGCGAAGGACCCAACCATATGCAGTTGTGAGTATCGCAATTGGGAGTATCTTCTTCGGTGGCGCTCCCTATGGGGCCACGAACCGCATGAGGGGTGTGCCGAAATGTGGCGGGGTACACAACGCAAAGGATTACGATTGATCTGATTACGAGAGAAAGAACGCGGGTGAGTCAGAGCGCGAGGGAATCTGAGTATGAATGGGTCTGCGCGCGAGTGAATATATTTGCATGAATGCGATCATGGAACCGCCTAGTGTAAGTGTCGAGCATGCCTGTCCGAACACACGTGACACTGGGCGTGGCCGCCGCAGGCAGCTTCCGCGGGAACCCCGACGGCAGCGTCCGCACGTCGCGACGCCCATGTCGGCACGCCTCTTGCGAGGATCGCGCCCGCTTTCGGCTCTTCTTTTCCTTCCTCTTTGCCCGCGCACTCCAAAATCCAAGGCTGCGGGCGCAGCGCAGCGCGGAGTCCCCGCGACGCGCGCTGGTCGCCCCGGGCGGGGTCCCAGCGACGCGCGCGGGTCGTCCGCTGCGCGAAGCAGAGAGAGCTGACTAGCTAACTGGCTGGCTGATAGCGGGCCAGTCTCTGACCGCTGGGCAGAGCGACGACGGGCGAACGAGGCGCCGGGCCCCCCGCAGCACGGAGTTCCCGCGACGCGCGCTGGTCGCCCCGAGAGGGTCCCAGCGACGCGCGCGGGTCGTCCGCGGCGCGAGGCCAAACAATTAGTCGGGCAGTCGAGAGAAGGCGCGGCTCGGGGGAGACGCTCCTCAGGTCAGGCCTCGCGGATGAACTCGGTGAAGCCGAGCTCCCTGGCGAGGGCCGTCGCTTCCCTCCTGCACCGCTTCGTGCGCGCCGCAAACTGCTCCAGCTGCTTCCGCAAGCCCTGCGGCGGCCCTGCCAGGAAGAACTCGATGCGCGGCGCCCGCATGAGCAGGAGGTCCTCGTGGCGCGTGGCGCGCGAGAGCAGCGCGTAGAGCTCCAGCCACCAGTCGTCGTCCTCCTTCTTGCCGTTCCCTACCTCGTGGCGGCCGCAATCCAGGATCACGCCTGGGCGACGTCGACCGAGGGAGCAGCGCGCCGGGCAGCCGACGGCCCAGGGCGAGAGTCCACAGGACCGAGAGATGGTCTGGCCGCGGACTGCTCGCGCCCCGGAGGTCTGGCCGCCCCCGGAGCGCCGTTCCCCCGCCCCGTCGCCTTCGCGCACGGTGCGCCCCTGGCACGCCACCGTGGTGATGACCCTGCCGTGCGAGAAATGCGGGGGGTGTGCCGAAATGGGTGGGGGTGACGCATGCGGGCGGCGGCACTGAGGCCTTCGGTGGAGCTCCCTATGGAGCCACGAAACGTGTGAGGGGTGTGCCGAAATGGGTGTGGGGGACGCATGCGGCCGCGGGCACTGGGGCCTTCGGTGGAGCTCCCTATGGAGCCACGAAACGTGTGAGGGGTGTGCCGAAATGGGTGTGGGGGACGCATGCGGCCGCGGGCACTGGGGCCTTCGGTGGAGCTCCCTATGGAGCCACGAAACGTGTGAGGGGTGTGCCGAAATGGGTGTGGGGGACGCATGCGGCCGCGGGCACTGGGGCCTTCGGTGGAGCTCCCTATGGAGCCACGCCACGACGCATGCGTGTTCGAGCTCCCTATGGGTGTGCCGAAATGACACCCCCAGTGGGACCTTCGGTGGAGCTCCCCATGGGGCCACGAAGCGTTGTCCTGGGTGGGGGAGACGCATGCGAACACCCCTACTGGGACCTTAGGTGGAGCTCCCTATGGGGCCACGAAACGCTGTCCTGGGTGGGGGAGACGCATGCGAACACCCCCACTTGGGCCTTCGGTGGAGCTCCCTATGGGGCCACGAAACGCTGTCCTGGGTGGGGGAGACGCATGCGAACACCCTTATTGGGACCTTCGGTGGAGCTCCCGATGGGGCCACGAAACGCTGTCCTGGGTGGGGGAGACGCATGCGAACACCCCTACTGGGACCTTCGGTGGAGCTCCCTATGTCCTGGTGGGGGAGACGCACGAACACTATGGGGTGGGGGAGACGCATGCGAACACCCCCAGTGGGACCTTCGGTGGAGCTCCCTATGGGGCCACGAAACGCTGTCCTGGGTGGGGGAGACGCATGCGAACACCCCTACTGGGACCTTCGGTGGAGCTCCCTATGTATGGGGCCACGAAACGCTGTCCTGCGTGGGGGAGACGCATGCGAACACCCCTGTTGGGACCTTCAGTGGAGCTCCCTATGGGGCCACGAAACGCTGTCCTGGGTGGGGGAGACGCATGCGAACGCCCCCAGTGGGACCTTCGGTGGAGCTCCCTATGGGGCCACGAAACGTGTGAGGGGTGTGACGACATGGGCGGTGGGGACGATGATGAAGACGATGATGAGGATGAGGATGTGGATGAGGATGATGCTGCAGATGATCATTCTGACGGAAGAGAGAAGAGGAGGGGGAGGAGGGAGGAGGGGGAGGAGGAAGGAGGAGAGGAACGCGGGGCACCGTCTCTTCAAAACGAGGACCCAACACCACAGGATGGTTGGGAAAAACATACAGACACCATTCATCGTCGACCCCCGGGAAATTGTAGGAAAATATGGGAAGTGGGGGGGAAGACGAACACCCCGAAACTATGGGAAAATACGGGGACTCCTGTCATTTGTGTGTACTCATGTGTGTGTATTCATGTGTGTATGCATGTGTGTATTCATGTGTATTCATGTGTGTGTATTCATTTGTGTGTGTATTCATGTGTGTGTATTCGTGTGTGTGTGTGTTTGTGTGTGTTTGTGTGTGTGTTTGTGTGTGTTTGTGTGTGTTTGTGTGTGTTTGTGTGTTTGTGTGTGTTTGTGTGTGTTTGTGTGTGTGTTTGTGTGTGTGTTTGTGTGTGTTTGTGTGTGTGTTTTTGTGTGTGTTTGTGTGTGTGTTTGTGTGTTTGTGTGTGTTTGTGTGTGTGTTTGTGTGTGTTTGTGTGTGTGTTTGTGTGTGTTTGTGTGTGTTTGTGTGTGTTTGTGCGTGTTTGTGCGTGTGTGCGTGTTTGTGCGTGTTTGTGCGTGTTTGTGCGTGTTTGTGCGTGTTTGTGCGTGTTTGTGCGTGTTTGTGCGTGCTTGTGCGTGTTTGTGCGTGCTTGTGCGTGCTTGTGCGTGTTTGTGCGTGTTTGTGCGTGCTTGTGCGTGCTTGTGCGTGCTTGTGCGTGCTTGTGCGTGCTTGTGCGTGCTTGTGCGTGCTTGTGCGTGATTGTGCGTGCTTGTGCGTGCTTGTGCGTGCTTGTGCGTGCTTGTGCGTGCTTGTGCGTGCTTGTGCGTGCTTGTGCGTGCTTGTGCGTGCTTGTGCGTGCTTGTGCGTGCTTGTGCGTGCTTGTGCTTGTGCGTGCTTGTGCGTGCTTGTGCGTGCTTGTGCGTGCGTGCGTTGTGCGTGCTTGTGCGTGCGTGTGTGCTTGTGCGTGCTTGTGGCTTGTGCGTTGCTTGTGCGTGTGCGTGCTTGTGCGTGCTTGTGCGTGCTTTGTGCGTGCTTGTGCGTGTTGTGCGTGCTTGTGCGTGCTTGTGCGTGCTTGTGCGTGCGTGCGTGCGTGTGTGCGTGCGCGTGTGCGTGTGTGCGTGTGCGCGTGTGCGTGTGTGCGTGTGTGCGTGTGTGCGTGTGTGCGTGTGTGCGTGTGTGCGTGTGTGCGTGTGTGCGTGTGTGCGTGTGTGCGTGTGTGCGTGTGTGCGTGTGTGCGTGTGTGCGTGTGTGCGTGTGTGCGTGTGTGCGTGTGTGCGTGTGTGCGTGTGTGCGTGTGTGCGTGTGTGCGTGTGTGCGTGTGTGCGTGTGTGCGTGTGTGCGTGTGTGCGTGTGTGCGTGTGTGCGTGTGTGCGTGTGTGCGTGTGTGCGTGTGTGCGTGTGTGCGTGTGTGCGTGTGTGCGTGTGTGCGTGTGCGTGTGTGTGTGTGTGTGTCCCTGGGCCCCTTCCAATGGGGGCGATCTCCCTGGGGGGGGCGAAGAAGGGTGCACCGTCTGTGCCCGACAGCGCCGCCTGCCACGCAACGCCAATCTCCCCCCTCCTCCTCCCCCTGAGGTCCGACGCTGCCAAACATTGCAACATCGTAAAACATCACGACCGCCTTCTTCTCTGCCTCCTCCTCCTCCTCCTCCTCCTCCTCCGCGTCCTCCCACCATGAAATCACGATTGGCCGCCAGGCCCCATCCTTCTGCGTCATTCTTCGAGGCCGATCGATCTGTGAGGGTCCCGGGGCCCGAAGAGTGGAGCGAAGATGCCCGGCTCGACTCAACGGAGTCGCCAGGATCTCATGGATTGCACAATTCCCACCTCTCACTTCCCCCCTCCCCAGACCCCCGACGTCATGTTTTTCTCATAGCGTCGACCCCAGAGGTTTCGACCCCTCCCCCAGGACCGGCTCTTCGTCCCGAGTCGTCTCTTGACGGTCCCGAGGCCCGGGCGAGGGCCCCCCGAGGCCGAGAGTGAAACCTCCCGCCCCACGAGTCCGTCGCTGCTCGGAGGGGTCTGCGTCGGGGCGCCGCCGAGCAG